GTGGGGCCGATCCAGCTGAGCTTCTTCATGCTCCTTAGTGGTTCCAGGACTTCTGCTGGGAGGCTGTCATCAGACATGATCTGTCGCTCCTTCCCAGGACAGCAGGGTTTCTCTGGCCTTCGCAGAACCTGGCAGGATGAAAGGGGGATCTCACCCCTGGAAATCAACCCTGTGGCTCCTGCGAAGCCAAGAGAACTCACCCTGACTGGCAAAATCAAATAAATTCAGCCCTTGAAGTAAATCACTCAGAAATACAAATGCCAGATGATTTCAGTAATGTGGAATCTAGAAAATGAAATTAACAAGCAGAACAGAAACAGACTCATATACATTTTGACAGTTGCCAGAGGGGAGGGGTTTCAGGAGATGGGTGAAAAAGGTGAAGGGATTAAGACATTTAAACTTAAGCCCTAATCGGTTTGGATCAGTGGATAGAGTGTCGGCCTGCAGACTGAAGGGTCCCAGGTTTGATTCCGGGCAAGGGCATGTACCTTGTTTGCAGGCACATCCCCAGTAGGGGGTGTGCAAGAGGCAGCTGATCGATGTTTCTCTCTTATCGATGTTTCTAACTCTCTATCCCTCTCCCTTTCTCTCTGTAAAAAATCAATAAAATATATTTTTAAAAAATTTATTTTAGCCGAAACCAGTTTGGCTCAGTGGATAGAGCGTCAGTCTGCAGACTGAAGGGTCCCAGGTTTGATTCCGGGCAAGGGCATGTACCTTGTTTGCAGGCACATCCCCAGTAGGGGGTGTGCAAGAGGCAGCTGATCGATGTTTCTCTCTTATCGATGTTTCTAACTCTCTATCCCTCTCCCTTTCTCTCTGTAAAAAATCAATAAAATATATTTTTAAAAAATTTATTTTAGCCGAAACCAGTTTGGCTCAGTGGATAGAGCGTCAGTCTGCAGACTGAAGGGTCCCAGGTTTGATTCCGGGCAAGGGCATGTACCTTGTTTGCAGGCACATCCCCAGTAGGGGGTGTGCAAGAGGCAGCTGATCGATGTTTCTCTCTTATCGATGTTTCTAACTCTCTATCCCTCTCCCTTTCTCTCTGTAAAAAATCAATAAAATATATTTTTAAAAAATTTATTTTAGCCGAAACCAGTTTGGCTCAGTGGATAGAGCGTCAGTCTGCAGACTGAAGGGTCCCAGGTTTGATTCCGGGCAAGGGCATGTACCTTGTTTGCAGGCACATCCCCAGTAGGGGGTGTGCAAGAGGCAGCTGATCGATGTTTCTCTCTTATCGATGTTTCTAACTCTCTATCCCTCTCCCTTTCTCTCTGTAAAAAATCAATAAAATATATTTTTAAAAAATTTATTTTAGCCGAAACCAGTTTGGCTCAGTGGATAGAGCGTCAGTCTGCAGACTGAAGGGTCCCAGGTTTGATTCCGGGCAAGGGCATGTACCTTGTTTGCAGGCACATCCCCAGTAGGGGGTGTGCAAGAGGCAGCTGATCGATGTTTCTCTCTTATCGATGTTTCTAACTCTCTATCCCTCTCCCTTTCTCTCTGTAAAAAATCAATAAAATATATTTTTAAAAAATTTATTTTAGCCGAAACCAGTTTGGCTCAGTGGATAGAGCGTCAGTCTGCAGACTGAAGGGTCCCAGGTTTGATTCCGGGCAAGGGCATGTACCTTGTTTGCAGGCACATCCCCAGTAGGGGGTGTGCAAGAGGCAGCTGATCGATGTTTCTCTCTTATCGATGTTTCTAACTCTCTATCCCTCTCCCTTTCTCTCTGTAAAAAATCAATAAAATATATTTTTAAAAAATTTATTTTAGCCGAAACCAGTTTGGCTCAGTGGATAGAGCGTCAGTCTGCAGACTGAAGGGTCCCAGGTTTGATTCCGGGCAAGGGCATGTACCTTGTTTGCAGGCACATCCCCAGTAGGGGGTGTGCAAGAGGCAGCTGATCGATGTTTCTCTCTTATCGATGTTTCTAACTCTCTATCCCTCTCCCTTTCTCTCTGTAAAAAATCAATAAAATATATTTTTAAAAAATTTATTTTAGCCGAAACCAGTTTGGCTCAGTGGATAGAGCGTCAGTCTGCAGACTGAAGGGTCCCAGGTTTGATTCCGGGCAAGGGCATGTACCTTGTTTGCAGGCACATCCCCAGTAGGGGGTGTGCAAGAGGCAGCTGATCGATGTTTCTCTCTTATCGATGTTTCTAACTCTCTATCCCTCTCCTTTCCTCTCTGTAAAAAAATCAATAAAATATATATTTTTAAAAAGTTTAAATTTAAAAAATAATAAATAGTATAAATTGGTAGCTACAGAATAGTCAGAGATTGAAAGTATAGCACAGGGTCCTGGTCGGTGTGGCTCAGTTGGTTGGAGTGTCATCCCGTACACTGAAAGGTGGTGGGTTCAATCTACGGTCTGGGCGTGTGTGGGAGGCAACCAATTGATGTTTCTTTCTCTCTCTCCTTTCCTTTCTCTAAATATTAATTTTTAAAAAATCTTTGAAGTACAGCATAGGGAATGTAGCCAATTATATTGTAATAAATACATATGGTTTCAGATGGATATTAGATTAGGGTGATTACTGTGAGTTATATAAATGTCTAATCACTGGGTTGTACACCTGAAACTAAAATAATGTTGTAATCAACTATAATTGAAAAATAAAAAATTTATTTTAGCCGAAACCAGTTTGGCTCAGTGGATAGAGCGTCGGCCTGCGGACTGAAAGGTCCCAGGTTCGATTCCGGTCAAGGGCATGTACCTTGTTTGCAGGCACATCCCCAGTAGGAGATGTGCAGGAGGCAGCTGATCGATGTTTCTCTCTCATCGATGTTTCTAACTCTCTATCTCTCTCCCTTCCTCTCTGTAAAAAATCAATAAAATATATTTTTAAAAAATTTATTTTAGAGAGAAAGAGAAAAACATCGACCTGTTGCTTTACCCATCCATGCATTCACTGGCTGACTCCTGCATGTGCCCGAACCCAGACCAAACCCTGCAACCCTGGTGCATCAGGATGACACTCCAACCAACTGAGCTACCAGGCCAGGGCTAAAAAATTATTATTTTTTAAATATATTTTATTGATTTTTTACAGAGAGGAAAGGAGAGGGATAGAGAGTTAGAAACATCGATGAGAGAGAAACATCGATCAGCTGCCTCCTGCACACTCCCCACTGGGAATGTGCCCGCAACCAAGGTACATGCTCTTGACCGGAATCGAACCTGGGACCCTTGAGTCCACAGGTCGACACTCTATCCACTGAGCCAAACTGGTTAGGGCGGTTTTTTTTTTAAATTAAATTTCTAGAGAGGGACAAAGGGAGGGATAGAAACATCGATGTGAGAGACACAAATCAATTGGTTGCTTCCTGTATATGCCCTGATTGGGAATCAAACTGGCAACCTTCCAGTACACAGACAACACTCCAAACAGTTAAGCCATACTGGCCAGAGATTAAAAAAAATTAAAACCTCGGTTTCCGAACATCTCTCATCTTGAACAATACGGTTCTTGACCAAGTTGTTCACAGAAAAAATGTCTCAGTTGTAGACCAAAACTTCAGTTTTTGACCTGACAACCCTTTCATGCTGATACCTCAGCATGACAAAAAGCATCTATCAGGCAGCAAACAAAGGAGAGAATGCTTTTGTTTAGCACAATTTTAAAACATAGACTATCAAGAATGCAAATGTTGCTAAAGGGTGTGAAAGTGATCCCAAAACAACAATCACAGGTAATGGAATAGGTAGAAAAACTGTTGTTGATTGGATAAAGGAAAAGCAGTTAGCTGGTGATAGCATTCCTAAGGCAGAGATACATGAAAAATTCATTTAAGGCTAGTTGGGGTTGTTTCCATAAATTTAAAAAAAGTATTTATTTATAGATTAAACAGTGCACTATACATGTACTGTATATAAGAAAGGTATAGCTCAGTGGATAGAGCGTAGGCCTGTGGACTGAAGGGTCTGGTTTGATTCCAGTCAACGGCACATACCTCAGTTGCAGGCTCCATCCCTGGCCCTTGTTGGGGGCTTGTGTGGGAGGCAACCAATCAATGTGTCTCTCTCACATTGATGTTTCTCTCTCTCTCGCCCTCTTTCACTCTCTCTAAAAATCAATGGGAAAAATATCCTCAGGTGAGGAATAACAAAACAACAACAAAACATCCAGGGAATCATTTGGGAATCTGGAACAATTAATTCAATTTACATTATTCCTAGTGGGGAAAAAATGATTTGGTTTTAGAACAAATCACTTCTCGAACAGCCTTCTGGAAAGAATTAAGTTCAAGAAATGAGGTTCCACTGTATACTCCGCCATATAAAATAATGCATAGAAAACTAAAAGAAAACATGCCTAAATATTTATAGGGCTTACCTCTGGTTGATGAGATTGTAGGAATTTCCCTTTATTTCCTTATAGTCTCTAAATATAAATAATATATATGCATACATATATATATACATATACATATATATGTATATATATGACTGCTATAATTAAACTAATTGCTTAAGTAGTTTCTGCAGCAATGAGCAGTCAAGTCCCAATTGCAGTTATGGGCCTTCTCCCTGGAAAAATGCTCATAAGCTCTTACACACATCAACATCCATTCTGCATCCCTTCAGGGTGGCCCCAATACAAGGGCATTTCCATCCCTGCCTGTAGGAGGCAGAATGACTCCTGGGCCAGCCACAACCGACTGTAAGCTGACCAATAATATTGAAATTTTAGAAATGCACAAATCCAAAATGGAAGCATCGATTAAGAAGCCCATTGGCTATACCACACCAGCTTGGTCCGTAGAAGGGGGTTAGTCTGGCCTGAGCCCCACGATTGCAGTCGCAGGTCTGTGGTCCTTGGGGATAGGAATGCTCTAGGCATCTGAACATTCATTCTCTCCAGCTGACTCTGGTTCACATCCTTGGCTCATGAGTGCCTTTAGGAAAATATGTGGCTACTTTTAGGGCAGAGGTTTATATACTTGTATAATTCTAGGGACCAGAAAGGCAAAGCATAGGAGAAATAAACTGCCAGGGTATAATCAAACTTTATTTTATGTTATAAGGTACAAACAAATGATGCCAGAGATTGTGCTTTAAGTTGACATTAGAAAAATGTAATTTGGAAATAGAAATAATTATTCAGAGTTTTTTAATTTGTTACTCCTCAGATTTGAAATCTAAAATGGGATGTTACTCACTAATGCCCGTCAGTCAATGTCAGGTTGGGGACCTCTCGTAGCAATATGCAGGAGCAAACTCATTTTTGAATCCTTTAACTGGGAACAATAGTATTATTTTGTGTCATAACAGAAAATAGTTGCTCACAAATATATGTACTTCCAAACATGGACAGAATCTTTGCACAATGATTTTTATATTTAGGGTAACTATTCCCAAGATATTTGAAGAATTCTGGGATTCCAACATCATCATATTTAGTTTTCAATATAGTGTTGTGCTGCAATTCAATAACCTCCATTTGTAGCTCTTCATTCACATTATTAATATTAATTGAGAAAGGTGAGCTGAACAGTATAAGTTCATTTTCATAAAGTTTGAAATCAGAGAACCTTTTTTGAAATTCAGTCTTCAACTCTTTAATTTTGGGAATGTAGTTCAGCCCATCACTTTCATTTTCAGAAACTAGTCTCAGCGTCGGGAAGTGGGCCAGATTGTTTCTTGCCAAGTGAGTTTCCCAAAGACACAATTTCGCTAGGAAAGAGCGAACTGCATGGTACATTTGTGTAACCATCTGCGAATGCCCTTGCAGAGCAACATCCAACATGTTTACATAAGTCATAATGTCAACCAAAAAGGCTAGGTCTTTGATCCAATCTTTGTTACGAAGCTGAGGCACAGATTTTCCTTTAGAAGACATGAAAATGTCAATTTCTTCCAACAGTTCAAAAAACTGCCTTAGCACCATTCCACGGCTCAGCCACTTCAGTTCCATGTAGGTCAGGTGTCCATACTGTGTGTCTAACTCACTGAACAAAGCACTAAACTTCCTGTGGGTCGAGCCATGGGAATGCAGCCACGTTATGGTGTAAATTACTATGTCCATGACATGATCCATTTGTAACTTTTTAGCACAGAGGGATTCTTGGAGAAAGAGGCCATGCACAGATTTAAGTTCTGTGTCTTTGCAAAGCCCTGACACTTTAGACTTAAGTTTTGTAACAAGTTGCTTCACACCAACCGTTGCAGAATTACCATCTGTGCTAACACTTACTAATTTTGACCAGTCTACATCAAATTTTCTAAGACTTTTCTCAACACATAAAAATAAGTCATTTCCTGATGTTGTGCCCGTCAGGGGTACCATGTCCAAAAGTTCCTCAGTCACATCAAAAGTTTCATCAACACCGCGAATAAATACAGCTAACTGGGGGGCGTTATTTATATAAGTGCTTTCATGAGCTGCAATAGAGAAAGCCACAAATGATTTAACTTTTTCTTGCAAGGTGTTCTGTAAGTTCTCAGTCACATTGGCAACATGCTGCTCAGCAATATTACCAGTGAGATTTATGTTGGCAAACACTTGTCTCTGTTCAGGGCACAAAATTTCTGCAGCACTCAGTAGACATTCCTTTATAAACGCACCATCTGTAAGGGGTTTTGATGCCCGGGCAATTTTCTCACGTAACACGTAACTACATTTCATGGCAGCATCAGTTATTTTATTCACATTCAAAAGCAAATCATGTTCAAGTTTCAACCTTTTTTTCAGTTCATTGAGTTTTTTATCACGCATCTTTTCTGTATATCCAACAAGGTTCCTACTGTGGTTTGTTTCATAATGGCATCTTAGGTTATATTCTTTCGACACAGACAGACTCTCTTTGCATATTAAACACATAGGAACATTTTTTACCTCCACAAAGAAATAAGCTCTCTCCCATTTTTCTTGAAATGTGTGGCTTTCTTGTTCTATCTTTTGTTTTCCTATTTTTTGAAAGAGATAAATGCATAAGAAATGTTAAAATGTCATTTTACTAATAGGGAAGAAAGTACTACTTTGGAATAAAAAGTATTAACTATTTTTTCAAGGTGTAAGTGTGCTGTTCACTGTTTTGGAGTTAGGGAGAACTTAGAGAATGGTGGAGGCTGCACAAACAGCAAATGCCACAGTTAAGAGAAAACGGCTGCTTCTCTCCAGGTGGCTGCAGACAGGTAGGACTTCAGGCAGGTAGGGCTGCAGCCACAGGGTGGCCAGATTTCCTGATGTAGCAAAAGAAGCTGGGAATCCCAATTTTTATGTGAAATGTCTTGATTTAAAAAAAAAACACATTCATAACAAATTATATTGCTTTTTCCTATAAATGCTGTATAAGCCACCATGCTTACCCATCAGATTAGGGGCACTGGCTTGGGGTTTCTGATTTAAACCTGACAACAACTCTTCTTAAAAATAATAAAATGTCTGAAGAGAACTAAATATCGAATTCTGAAACCACAAGTTTAAGAGGTTGTTCAAACAGAAGCCTAAGGGTACCCAAAAAGGGAAACCAAACTGATGTATCTCAAGGTCCCATTTCTTTTTTAATATGTTTTTATTGAATTTTTAAAAAGGAATGGAGAGGGAGAGGGAGAGGGAGAGGGAGGGAGGGAGGGAGAGAGAGAGAGAGAGAGAGAGAGAGAGAGAGAGAAAGAGAGAGAGAGAAACATAGATTGGCTGCCTCTTACATGCCCGCAACTGGAGATCGAGCCAGAAACCCAGGCATGTGCCCTGACAGGGAATCGAACTGGGGACCTCTCAGTGTATTTCATGATGCTCAACCAAAAGAGCCAAACCGGCCAGGGCTCAAAGTGCCATTTCTTTTACAGACATCAAGGTTACAGTTAACTAGGAAAATGCTCATTAGCTTGATATAATTATGAGGATGACTTACATGTTTTTGATACAGGGAGAAAATTGTATTTAAAAGTGCCAAGTGCCCTTAACCTAATTGACATCCCTCGTAAGTCTCCATCTACAGAGCTTTAGCATGCTTACCTCTCCAACTTCTGTTCTTCCTGGCCCTCTCTTCTTGGCCTTGATTTTTCTCTCCAACATGCTCCAGAACTATGGCAAGCCCTCCAATTTCTGTCCCTTGCTTCTCTTCCAAGGTTCTCTCTGCATCAGCTTGTGACTTGAAGTCAATATAGGCAATTCTGCAGTTGTGGGGATGGGGTGGGGAGAGAGAACTGCCAGAATTTAGTATTTGTATTTATCTGTCTTTTTAAACGGTAATACATATACAAGATTCAAAATGCAAAAAGAGCCCTAACCGGTTTGGCTCAGTGGATATAGCATCAGCCTGCGGACTGAAGGGTCCCAGGTTCGATTCCAGTCAAGGGCATGTACCTTGGTTGCGGGCACATCCCCAGTAGGGGGTG